AGAGAACAAGTGGGGAAGAGGCAGAGAGAGAGGGAGATAACAGAATCCGATGTAGGCTCCAGTCTCTGAACTGTCAGCACAGAGCCAGATGCGGGGCTTGAACTCATGAACTGCCAAGATCATGACCTGAGCACTTAACCGACTGTGCCACCCAGGCGCCCCTACAATTTATTTTTATATAAAAATACTACATATTTGTATATTCTGTAACCGTGCTAAACTCCTTAATTGTTTCTAATGGTTTTTTGTGAATTTCTTAGACTTTTCTATATACGGGATCAAGTCATCTGTGAATAGAAGCTATTTACTTCTTCCTTTCCAATCAGGGTGTCTTTTATTTATTTTTCTTACCTAAGAGCCTTGGCTAGAACTTCTAATACAATGTAGCATAGAAATTGCTGCCTTGCATTTTTATGAAATGGTGATAGGGTGTAAACTCTTTTATATCCATTAATATTAAAGTGTGGTGACTTCATGAAATTAGTGTCATCATATCTGTAGGACAGTAATTGGGACTGTTACGATCTAAAAAAACATGTGAACTGGTTTTTTTTTTTTTTTAGTTGAGGAACACTTTAACAATGTGTTTTTTTCTTTTTCTTTTAGGTTTTCTCAAATAACGATGAAGGCCTTATTAACAAAAAGTTACCCAAAGAACTTCTCTTAAGGTAAATGTAGATAAACTTTAAAGAATTCAGATTTGATTCAGTCATCAAGTTCCAAGACAATCTTCTTTCTCACTATGAGTCCATAGCACAGAAAAACAGACAGAATTAGCCTAACTGACTTTTTGTTTTTGTTTTATAGAATGCTGTTCAGCTTGTTGTTAAATTTTACTTGGTCTAATCCAGAATGTACTAAGTATGTACATAGCATTGGTCTGGATTCTTTTTGTAATGTGGTAAGTATTGTAATAATCTTCAGTAGGTGCCACTGTTTTGGTATCAGTAGATGTTCTCAATGTAGTCAATTACGTGAGGAGAGATGATTGTTAAGGTTATGAGCTCCTGAAGTCACAGGCATTTGGATGTTTTCTAATCAATTTTAAAATAAGTATGGTCAAAATTCTGAGTGCTTAGAATTTTGTCAGTCCAAATGTTGCTATATTTTTATCCACTTGATGAAAATTATGTGCTAAGTGACAGTACTATAAAATATGGTTTTTGTGCTGTATTTCTGACATCACAATATACAGTAAATGGTTTTTGCTTTACCACATAAAGCCGTCAACCAACATTTGTTGACCCCAAGGCACTGCAGTTTCCTTTAGTGCTCTGCCATCATCAAAGAAATCTCCTCTTAGTTTTGGATGTTATATTTTAATTGTTTACAAGTAATTAATACATGTATACATGGTAATCCTTGAGTGGCATTTCCCAAATGCCGCTGATGTTCCGCAAAACAAACAAACAAAAAAAAACCCACAACTGTGTGATCAAATAAGTAGGGAAATACCGGGTTAACAAAACCGATTTCTTTACGCATGACTTCTCAGAGCCTTAATACACATGATGATACTCCCAGATGGATAGTTCTGACATTTCAAAGTGACTGACCATGGAACTCTTTTAATATTCCGTATTAAGGGGCGCCTGGGTGGCGCAGTCAGTTAAGCGTCCGACTTCAGCCAGGTCACGATCTTGCGGTCCGTGAGTTCGAGCCCTGTGTCAGGCTCTGGGCTGATGGCTCGGGGCCTGGAGCCTGTTTCCGATTCTGTGTCTCCCTCTCTCTCTTCCCCTCCCACGTTCATGCTCTGTCTCTCTCTGTCCCAAAAATAAATAAAAACGTTGAAAAAAAAATATTCCGTATTAATTCTGTATTACATTGACAAAATTTGGGGAAATGCTGACATACAGTAAGTGATAGACCAGATGACTCCGTTCCCTGGTTGTGCTAGATCTCATGTTAACATTTAGGGAATGGGTGTGAGTTTTGTTTACATGTCGGAGTTCCCCACAGACTTACTCTGTAAATATCACATATTACTCACCTCAGGATGTTAAACTTTGTCTTGAAGGAGAAACGGTGCAGACAGCGCTTCTTTGTGGTGAAGATCACATTCCAGGGGCTTCAGAAGGTGTTCCGTTAGTCGCTGGGTATCGTGCGGCACTGTCGTCATAAACTCATTTCACTCAATAAAAAAGAAAATTAAGTCATGACAGAATCATATGAAAACTACAGCGATAATATTTCAATAAAATACTTGTTTGGATAGGAGAGGCTATTCTCTGGCATTTCAGACTCTTAAAGTTAAGAAAGTGGTAACAAAGGAATGATATATCTTTCATATAAACCTGGGAGGTCTTGATCAAGCACCGTGAGCTCTTAGAATGAACATGGGGGTGCTTGGGTGGCTCAGTTGGTTAAGCGTACGACTCTTTTTTTTTTTAATTAAAAAAAATTTTTTTAACATTTATTTATTATTGAGAGACAGAGACAGAGCATGAGCAGGGGAGGGGCAGAGAGAGGAGGAGACACAGAATCCGAGGCAGGTTCCAGGCTCTGAGCGGTCAGCACAGAGCCCGACACAGGGCTTGAACTCATAAGCCGTGATATCATGACCTGAGCAGAAGTTGGACGCTTTACTGACTGACCCACCCAGGCGCCCCAATTTTTTTTTTTTAATTTTTTTAACGTTTGTGTTATTTTTGAGAGAGAGAAACAGAGCGTGAGCAGGGAAGGGGCAGAGAGAGAAGGAGACGCAGAATCTGAAGCAGGCTCCAGGCTCTGAGCTGTCAGCACAGAGCCCCACACGGGGCTCGAATCCACAAACCCTGAGATCATGACCTGAGCCAAAGTCAGACACTTCACCGACTGAGCCACCCAGGCACACTGTGTCCGACTCTTGATTTTGGATCAGGTCATGATCTCACAGTCCGTGCGTGGGTTTGAGTCCCGCGTCAGGCCCTGCACTGATGGTGCGGAGCCTGCTTGGGATTCTTTCTCCCTCTCTCTCTCTGTCCCTCCTCCAGCTTGTGCTTGCTCGCTTGCTGTCTTTCTCTCTCTGTCTCAAAATAAGTAAATAAACTTAAAAAAAATAACGTGGCTGGGTTAGGATAGGCAGGCTGTTACTATACAATAAGTGGACGGGATGCTATCCACAACGGACTGCAGAGTGCGTGCTGTCCCCTAGAACTGTGCAGTTTCACTCTTGGTCCGAACATTATTTAGCACAGGCATCAAGCTGTAATATGAACATGTGATTCTTACTCTGGGGAATCAACCAGCTTGAGGCAGACCCGTTATTAGTCATTCAGCACTGGGGTGTGATTAAACTCCAGTCTTGTTATGAATACTGCTTCTATCTGTGACTCAAAGCTGCTAAGTTAATCTTTTTCCCCTTTGATGCAGTTAGCTTTGACACTGTTCTCCTGCAGGGCGCAGTTTCCGTCTCCTGACCAAAAAAAGGGGGCGGGGGCGGGGGCGGGTGGGATTTTATCAGATTCTGTGTTAGTGTGATTTCCGAACTGTTTGAGAAATTTTAGCTCTTTTAAAGATCCCTGGTGGACTCAGCTATTATAAATTCTGCAGTTGCCGGTTTGAATCCTGCCACAAGGCTCAAACAGAGATCGTTTTTCAAAAGGAATTGCCACTTGAGACCAAGTGTTCGTAACATGTCTATTCATAGGTTTGTATTCCCACTTCTGCTCTTATTTTGGAGTCTGTAAGGGCAATTTAAATTATAAAGTACCGGTCTTCCCTGGCTCGTGAGTCTCAAAATTAATTCTAGGCAACCGTGGTATTTTAATCTTGGTTGGCCTCCGAGCCGCGTCTGCCGTTTTACTCGCAGACTCTATATTCTCAGTAACAGCGGCTCTTCCCTTTCCCAGCTGCGCTTTCTGAGCAGAATTTTGGAGAAACGTTTGAACCAAGTTACCAAAGTAGCCATCGTCGTCACCAGCCTCCTGGAGCTTAAGCCTCGATTATTTTGCTCAGTTAGATGATGTCTTCATACTCTCAGTGGGTCACAGGCTCACTTTTTTACTTCCTATTGCAGATATCTCTGTGACGGTGCAGACTTCCTGTCCTTGTTGAATTCCTGTCTACCTTCCGTCTTACTTCATCAGTAGATGTGATTCCTTTGGCTTTGTGATCCTCTGTTTACTTCCAGCCGGGGTCGTTTTCTCTCTGCCATTTTTCACTGCATCTATTACCACCCTCTCAAATTCTCTAACTTCCATTACTGGTCACGTCAAGTGAAGCCCCCACTTCCCGTTCGGAGCCAGTAACAAGCACAACCCGGAATTATGTGCGGTTTTTTCCCTTTCTTGATGTCACTTTGAATCCACCCAGAAAAATCTGTGAGGTGGTTTTCATCTGACCATCTTCTTGCTGGTTTCAAGACTGCCCAGTATTACTGATTCACAGATTCCTTCTCCCACCCCGTTTTGAGTTTGTTACTTAACAAGTTCTTCCAATTTTGCTCTTTGTACCCAGTTTTCACGTACAAATTGAAGGTATTCCACTTCTCCCTCTCTATCCTTTATGCCCATACAATTGACCAGCTTGTAATTTTACTCTTCCTGGGGAGTCTGTTGTATAATGCTTCTTATAACAATGGGACTCTTCAGTTTTTTGAAACCTGTATATGTATCTGTCAGTGAGTTGGGCTGTTCTTATATTTTGTCCTCATTGTCATTGTCTGTATGACTTTTGGAGCCAGACTTGGTTGGGATTTCAGCTCTCCTCATTTCCTACTTGTATGACCTCAAATTTAGTGACTTAACTCTCTGGGCCATAGTTTCCTATATCCATAAAAGGGGGGTAGTAATAGTTCTTACTGAATGGGGTTGTAGCTAGCCCGTAGGGTGCCTGGCAGTTAACGAATGTTAAGTGATGTTAGCTTCTATTGTTAATTAATTTCAATTTTCAATGCCTGAATTACTTACTAGATGCTGTTTGACAGTGTCCTCAATACTTACGCAGACAACTGATAAAAGAAAGCTGCCCTGCTGTGGATCTCGCATATGCTACTGCTGCTAACAGTATCTCAGTAAATAACCTGACTGATAAGTTACCGAGACCCAGTGCTCCGTTTCATCACCCTGGGCTAATTCAGTCTCAGTGGACAGTGCTCGCTACCAAGTGATATTGAACTGACGGCTACCAGGGCTCACGCAGGTTAGGGATGGCAGCATCGACTTTTTGACTTTGAGTTTTTCCTTCTGTTACGGTTGCACTCAGGTGTTGATGGTGACAGGAAAACGCATGTAGACTGCCTCAGGGGATAGGGAGTGCTAAACGCAGGAAATATTTTAAAACACTCAGAGAAGGCAAAGCTCTTGTTAGTAATAAATAATAATGAAGGAAACCTCATAGTAGACACATTTTTAAAAACTTAAATCACCATTATTTAGATCATTTTGTGTCCGTTTAAAATTTATGTGGATACATGACAGAATTAAGCACCAATCGTGTTTGTTGGCTCGATGAGAGGAAGGTTTGATTGCCCCAAACAGGAGAGCCAAGCCTGATAATTCTGGGCAAATGAAGTCAGCTACACAATCACATATATTCAGCGGTTTTACTGGTCAGCTAGGGAAAATTGCAAAATGACCCGTGCAAACATTTAAAAATTTTCCTTTTCTAAAATTCGTAAACCAATTCCACGAGTGAACATAATTGTGGCTTTTGTTGCAATCATCAAGTGCTTACGTGTCATTGTGGG